AGCGCAGGTAGGGGTGCGTAAGTCCCTTGATTACATAGGCTTGTATACTAATTTGGGTGGGGTTGATGTTCGCGCGGGTAACGTCAACCATATACAGGGGGTCGCACTTTTATGAAAACCCCCCATAGCAGGCCAATGAGGAATGTGAGCCATGTCGCTAGCGGCAGGGTCAAATTTCCACTTTTTAAACAAGACAGGGGGTTCTGCGAGCCGTCTCCAGGGCAGCCCACATGGCCTCAACCCGAGTGATGCAGGGACGGATGAGCTGCATATGTTATACTTTGCAGCCTCGTTTTGTCGCTTGAGTAGCTTGAGCTGCGTCATAAGTGCGCTCGCGATGCTACAGCGCGTGAGTGCCTTCTATCGTACTGTGCCCCCAGATCCAGTGGGTAGAGATGATGCTCCACAAAGTCAATAGCTCCCTCGCGATATTCCATGGTAGATGATTGGCGAACTGAAAACCGACAAGCGACACTGCACATCGCAATTACCCCGGCAACTCGGCAGTGTTGCCCAGATGGAAGAACACCAAGCGCCTTCTACTCTTCCTCCATCAAGACATCGCGAACTTGGCCATCGCATTGATCAGCATGCGAAATCTCGTTTATAACGGCATGTGTTCTTTTGGGTGATTACACCGTCGAAATAACGGCAAATGGCCAGGAAGAAGACGAGAAGACATGTTGTCGGCGGTGTGGGTGATAAAGGAGCGGGCCTCGCTATCTCACATTATTACGTACTACTGTTGCTTATCCAAAAACCTTCTGGCGAACCTGACATGTGCTGCGACGACAATACAGCCATTCACGAGAGAACTGCGAGACGAGAGTACAGTCCACAGCAAGCTGGTCCATTAGAGGTAACTACATCGCATCAGATGACATTGCCAAAGAGCTTGGGCGAGCGTGATTGAGATCTACAGCATCCATCTACACAGTAAGCCTCACGATTGAGGCTGACGTGATTTACAAAAGCGCCAAATGGTTCCATCTCAAATCTCCATCTCCATTGCGCGCGACACCCCCGCGACAGCGGTATGGCTCTGACCACCAACACGCTCGCCACACTCGGGACAACGCGCCACCTCCATAGGCATGCCGCACTCTCCGATCGCGAACTGCGTTGCGTTAGAACATACTTTGTGAGAGTGAAGAGCAGTAACTTACCGGATGTCCGTTGACACATTTGTACCAGTGTCCAGAGTGAGTTGCGATGCCGCCACGCCCGCTGACCATAGCCTGTTTGATAGACTCCAGCTCCTCCTTCGATACCGCCTCATAAAACTCTTTGCTCAGCATCTCTGATGCAGCAGTAATAGCCTGGCGGAAATTATCTCTACCACCGAAAGGATGCTCACAGAGCTTATCAGCCGTCGTCAAGAGAATCCTGGCGAGTTTGCGGTAGTCGATAGCTTTCGCGCGATTGTTGTCTTGACCAGACTGAGCACTACCGAAGGACTGAGCGATCTGGGCGTAGTGTAGTATAGCCTCAACTGCGAGTTTGGGCAGACTCTCACGGATACAATCACCGATAAGCTTTTCCGTGTCTTTCATAAACTGATGCGTCTTGACGAGCGGCGAACCCCCGGAAAAACTAAGGGGCAATTTACTCAGGAGATTTTTCCGGACTACGACACGCATGATCTCAAGGTTGTCTTCGAGCACCAAGCAGCGAACCTTGATCTCGAGCAGTCTACCCCCAAGAGTAATACGTTGGTCGCGATCGCGCTTGGTGGACGTTTCCGAAGAGTCAATCGTCAACTTTGCAAACTCGGCGTTCAATGAGTCGTCTCGCGATATACTATGAAGAGTCGCTTGGTGCAGCTTGTAGGTCGGCTGATGTCGAATGTCCATCCGGCGTTGGAATGCTTTGACTGCATTCAATAGCTTGATAGTGTCCCCAGAGCGGTTCCTGATCTCGTCGTTGATGGACTGCATGGTAAACTCGTGAGCCGCCTCGCCACGTAGCCTGACGATTTCAGCCGGGACAACACCCTTTTGCGATGCCTCAAGCTCTTTTCGGACATCTTCAAGCTGGCCTTGTAGTTGCTGCAGTTCCTGTTGACCGTTCACGATGAAGCGTTTAGACATCTCGTCGATGACAGCCCGATTAATGAGTCGATTATAGCGCTGCGTAACGTATTGCTTGATAGGCTCTCGACAATTTGGACATTGTGGAATCGATGCGGAAAGCTCGGCATTCTCAATCAGCCCGGTAAAGAGACCTGTGGATGCGTCGAGACTATACACATCTTTGAGGCCAACAAGTCCATCCAGTGTTTCAGTCGTGAAGAAATGCCCGCAACTGAGAACGACTATAGGCGAGTCATTCAAGTCAACGTCAGCATACGGCAACATCATGATCATGTCTGGCTGCTCTTCAGGTTTCATGCCACACTCTTGACAGTAGTCCTCAGGGCATACTTCACCGCAGATGCTCGGACATTGATGACCGCATAGAAGGAGCTTCGTACAACGTTCGTCGCAGGGCAAGCGACTGCACGGAGCCGAACAGGGCATCTTGCAGTCGCCTTGGTGCTCACATGACCAAACACACGGCTCAACGCACGGCGCACAAGGCTCATGGCACCTCTGCGGGCATTTAGTGTGCTTGCAACGTACCTAGATGGAGTCAGAATACACTTTGGGGATAGATAGATGTCACTCACTTCACATGGCGCTTGACACAGACCGCAATCTGTACCATCGTGGCATAGGCGATTGCAATCGTGATTGCAAGTTCCATGCTTTCTCCCGCATGTCTTCGTGCAAGCTGCGTGCTTGACAACCGGTTGGTTGTACATATCTTTAATGTTGCACTGACCGCAAGTTCCAGGGCATGGATGGCCGCAAGACAGAGGCGCACTGCATGGAGTAGGGCACTTGAAATCTTTCCCGGAAACATCCTTCGAGCATTTTACGATCACATCGTGCCCACAGCCAGGTACGGGCTTCGAGACCTTGACGTCGCATGGTATGCTGGACATGTTTCGGGTACGGTGACAGGCGACACCATGCTTGACATGGCCGCATGGAAGTTGTACGTTATCGAGTGGGACCATACACTTTCCACAAGACTCTCCGCACGTGGCTTTCTGGCATGCGTGACCACAAGGCTGATGTCGGCGCTGGCATGGCTGCTCGCACAGGAAGACTGCATGCATCGCTTCCGAATGGCATCGGGCCCCACATTGATGACCACAATCGAGACGATCGGCGCATGCTTCTCTGCAACCCCCTTCAGGGCTTAGCCTATGGAAGTCTTCAGGTTGCTGTACTTCAGCGTCCGTATCGGGATGCCGAGGGCAGGACAGAGCCAGGGCCTTACCCACTGAGTCGGTCGCACGTAGCATGCCAATAACCCTCTGCCACATCTCGACGCTAGAGTATGTGTCTGTGTTACCGATGAGATACATGCCATGCTGAGCGCGACTCAACAAGACATTGATACGGTTTGTCGTCTTGAGAAATCCGACGTTCTGCCTCTCGTTGCTCCGAACAAGGGAGACGATGATGATCTTGGCCTCTTCACCTTGGAAGTTGTCAACCGTAGCAATTCTCAATAGCTCCGACAGCTGCTTCTTCTCCAACGGCTTGCCTTGATGACTCTCATGATCGGGTGTCGCAACGTCCGGACTGCTGTCGCTGTCCACTGCAAAACCATCCCTCTCGAGCGCTTCTTTGTCGCGATCGCTGAGACAAATCTCAAAATCGCTGCGCATAGCAGCTCGCAGTTTCTGAAGCTGGCCAGTATATGGTGTTAGTACCGCGATATCATCTGACTTGTAAACACCTTGTCGAACGACATGCCGGACTAGTGCATGCACCATCTTGACTTCCCACAAATTGGATTTGGACTTGGTGTTGTGCACATCGCTATCCTTCTCGTTCTCGAGGTTGGTATGATCAAGCCAGAAGACGTTATGGCGCAATCCGACAACGTCAGGCAGATCAATGGTAGATGCATGGTCCTTAAGTTTGTCGTATATGGTCTCGCGGATTAGCGAGGATATCTGCGGGCGCATACGACGTTGTACGTTCAGCTGAGCAACGGGCATAAGAGGCCGCCCAGGCTCACCGATTGAGAGGCGTTCGAACTGACTCCTGTCGAGCGCATGGAGCTTTCCTCGATCGCTTTCGAGCGACAAGTCGCGGAAATTGCTGACCGAAGGCCGGAGTTGCTCGTGATCACCAATCTGGATCAAGTGCTCAACATCAGGAAGTAGCGCAGAAATCATGTAGCTCTCCATGACCTCTCCCGCCTCCTCGCAGATGATAACCTTGCACTTCACCTGCTGGAGTAATGAAATACGCTTCGCCAACCCAGAGGTCGTGACACCGATGACATCTGAATCCTCTAGCAGTCGACGATTGAGCTCTTCGTGGATGTTGCTCAATTCGCGTTGCGTCTTGGTAGCATCGTTGACAATCTCAAAAAGCTCGCTAACCTTGTTGTTTTGAGCCTCAGAAACCCAATGAGCGATCAGTGCGCTCCTCTCGTGAACTGACAGGGAGAACACATTTTCAGTAGCCCTCTGCACGACTTGTCGTAGGACCTCCGGGGATAGTACTGGATGATGGTGTGTTTCACTGCCTGCAATCCATACATCAAATGGGTGACGGCCAGCCGTCTGGAAGCCTTGATCATCGACGCGACGGAACTGGTTGTAGATTCTTGGGTATTCCTCGTGGATATGGGCTTTGAGATTTTGCCACTGCGCACGCTTTGACAAGGCGTGAAGACCAGCAAAGGTCTTTCCAGCCTCCTTCTCATTCTCGTCCAGGTTCTTGTACCTCATAGCCGCCATGTACTTCTCGGATTTGGTTTTGGTCTCCTGGTCGCCAATGGTGCGAAGGTTGTGGTTGGAAAGCTTCTTCGACTTACTCATGCCTCCGACACGAATGAGCTTTTTCACGCCGATGTCTAGTAGATGTTCCAGAAACTGATCCAAGGCATGGTTCGTATAGCATACGATAAGTATGGGCCCAAGGTCCTTCTTCTTCTTCTTGATATCCAGCAGTATTCTCATGATCTGGAGACCCAAATAGCTCTTCCCTGTACCTGGAGGTCCTTGAATGAACGCAAATTCGCGGGTCAACGCAGCAACTAATGCGCGACACTGTCCGCGATCCAGCTGTGTCTTGGTCTCAAGCTTGTCAAGGAGCGCCTCGTCGTTGCACGATGAGGTCGGTTCGATCGAAAATGGCTCGCCGTTCTTGTCCTTCATGAGCGTTGTGGCTGGGAATCGGAAGCCAGAAGTGCGCGCGTAGAGAGGTGGAGGAATCTTCTGAATCCCACGTGCCCCTGGGGTACCACTGTGTTTGTCTGGAACAATCCATTGCCGGAAGGGCAGACGATTCAGCCGATGCATAGCCTGTAGGCTCTCTAAAGTGGGTGCAAATGTCGCCGGCATGACCTTCGGAAACTCCAGCAAGAGGCCGCGGGTCACTCCAATGTTTGCGCGCATGAGCATCTTGACTGTTGCTCGGTCTTGAGTCACCAAATTCGTCGTGACGTAAGCCATCTGGTGATGGTGTGTAAGACTATACTCCTTCTTGGGATCCGTGGTCTTGTCTGAGACAGTGAGGAAGATGTGTTGAACGACATTATCTTGGATCCAGATGAATGACAGGAGCGACCCGTCATCGAATCGCCGGGACTCCTCCCACCACTTCACCTTCTGATCGGCATTCTTCTTTCGAACGATTGCAGGCTGTAAGAATTCCATCTGAGCCTGCAGACCCTTCCGCTTATTGAGTGTGACATAGGAGACACGAGCGTTGGTATACTGATTGGCGCGCATGTCTCCAAGATTGGCATAGGACAGCGCATTGGGATCTTGAGATACTGCATGCATGATACCAGCCAAAGAACTCTTCAGTTCTCCGAAGATGTCATGGCGCATTAGCCGAAAATAAGTGTCGATGTGGCGTTGTACAGGGTCTTCAAGGAAATGTGGTTGATCTGGATCCGTATATGGCAGGAATTCTTTCTCATCGGTCATGATCTCATCACGAGTCGGAAAGAGTATCAGGTCACCGATGTCCTTTTTGTCGTTGTCGAAGCGGCCTGAAGGAACTACCAAGTCTCTTGGATAGAAAGACTTCTGGTCGCTAGCATCGTCGTGATCACCAGTGTCATCATCACCTACACTATCAGCAAGCATTCCTTGCGCACGTGCTACCAGGGCTCGAATGTCGTTGAGGCGGTTGGTAGTCCGGGCCGAAACATCTGGAGAGCCCTTGCAAGCATCGCTTGCAGTCTGGATTGAGTCCACTAGCGGTATGATATTGTCGTTGAAACGTGCTCTTCGCTCCCGCCTCAACAACTCGAGTAGCGCCTTTGTCATTGCCAGAAGTGTTGCTTGATGATCCTCCGTAGAAATTGCAAAACACCTAATTGTTCGAGCTGCTGAGAGAGCATTGGAAACTCGCTGCAGATATTGAACCGCAGTACGTCCAGCGACCCCGCCGAAGAGGTTGTAAATCGATCCGACGTGTGTGTCAACCGCAAGACAGTGTAGGAGCGACGAGTGCGTGATCGTGAGGAGGAAATTGCGAGCATTTTCAAGGAAGGTACCGCAGTCTGGGCTAACATTCGTGCGTAGAATGGCTAGAATGTGGCGATGACCGTTCTCATCGTCTGAATCATCGAGATCTTGGGGTAGCTGTTGAAGCCAGTCTCTATCTCCGTTTTCGAGTATGCCCAATGCACCTTCCCTAAGGTTTTGGTGTAGGAAGTCAGTGTGTGTCTCATGTGCGATTCGTAGAATGAAGTACTTACCAAAGGCGCCGCATAGTTGTCGGATCAGTCTCAGCCTCACCAAGACGGCGCTTCCAGGAGCTGTATGACTTTCTGGCCTCTCTCTGCTCGTCCGTCTCTTTGGTTCTAATAGGCTTTGACTCATGCTGTGGGTTGCCATCGTGGTTGCTGAACGAGTTGCCGCCACGACCGCGACCGCGACCAGGACCTCTACCTCCTCGCCAGCCTCGTTCACCTCGTCCGCCACGTGAACCGCGTCCGCCGCGTCCGCCGTGTCCAGACATATTGAGTCTCTTCAAGTGTGAGTTCGAGTGTAAGTTACGAAACAATGTGTCGCTGCAAAGATTGTGTTGTTGGCGACTCTTGCTGGGAAGGAGCAACTCTTCACCGTTTGTGTTGATGCTAGCCGAAAAGCCCTTCGTGCTGTGATGAGAGGTGAAGGTGAGGTATCGAATTCCTTTTATCTGCGGTGGAATAGCGGGCACCAGTCAATGGCGAACAAATATGCGTGCATACGGCGTATGCATGCGGGCGCGTACACCAGCCAATTCTGGTGTTCCAGCTTTTCAGCCTCGCCAGCGCGTACATGTATCGATTCCAGGATTCCAGCTCTTCAGCCTCGCGACATATCTAGGCAGAACCTCTACGCATGATAAACAGAACTGCTTTGGGCAACATCTTATCTGCCTTTGTGCCTATCTTCATGCCTGAGGTATCCCTAATCTGGGAGGCCGCCACTATGACGTAACGAAAGCAAGAAGAAGAAAGAGCGAGTGATCGTAATTACCAATAGAGGATGAGAACCAGCATAAAAATAGAGATGTGGATTTGAGACAAAACATAAACATGATACGGATAGATCCAAGACTCCACAGTAATACTCCACTGTGACGCTTACGCAGAACGCCAGCTATGCAACACTACCATATGCCTGAACATTACTTCGTACTAACATCCGGAAACAAAACCTGGATCATCTCGTCTAGCAGTGTGAAAGCAATATGCGTACTGCATCTTGTTAGCTCTACTCAATACACTGAACTCACTTGTAAACTTACTTCAGCCTTGTATTATTAATAGTCCCCTCAATCTTCTTCGCCGCCAACTGCGCATTCTGCCTCCCCACCACACTACTCGCCAACTCAGGCACAAGTGTACTGAGAACCTCGCTCGCCGCTTTCCTACTCCCCTCTTTGTCCTTGCTGGTTCTCTCAACGCCCGCTTTCATCCTGCCGTTGGGCCACATGCTATCCTTCAACGTATCAATGTACTTGACGATGTTGTTTTCAGACAGCAGGTTGTCAAAAGACTCGCGGACTTTGCGTTCGATGGTGCCGCCGAGAAGTTGGTGGAGGACTACAACGACGGCGCGACCTCGAAGCCAGTTGTTCTCGCGGTTTAGCTCAAAGGTCTCAAGGAAGATGTCGCAGATTGGTTTTACGAAAGGCTCGAGCTCTTTGTTTTCGAAGGCGAGGAGCTCGGCCTCTGCCTCTGCGTCGTTGTTGGGTTCGCCGGCGACGAGAACACCGGACGAAGAGAGGTTGCCAGGTTGGGCTGTTGCGCCGTTTGTATTCGCGAGCTGGGTGGTAGCGGCTGATATGAGGTTTTGACCTGCGACAGATAGTTGATCGAGTACAGGTATATTGCCCAAAAATTCTTCCATGCCATCTGCGACTGAGTTGTAGATACGAGTCACAAAGTCGTTGGAGTTAGGATTCTGGTTTCTTAACGCATCGGCAGGACTGATCGCCGCCTGAGAAAGGAAGGCGCGTAGTTCACGACTGCGGCACACAGCTGGGATGAGTAGAAGCTCCCTCAGGTACTTCTCAAGACCAAGCCGTCTCTTGTGTAGGAAATCTTTTTGAAGCTTAAGCATCATCTGCCGGCGCGGGAACTCTAGATTTCGAACTTGGGGAAATTTCACTCGAAGCCTTTTGTTCAGTTCGTGGAACTCGCTATACCGCCGTGAGACGACCCAAGTAGCGGCAGGCATCTGATCACCAGCACGTCGTCGGACTTCGATGACATACATAGCGTACTCCTTACCATCTTCTTCGGTACCGACCATGATAGATTGAATGAATACAGTGGCTCGTCCATACAAGCTGTTATCGCTCTCTTGGACAATGTACTGCTGACGTTGTAGCTCCTTCCTCTGTATCTCTCGCTGGAGACTGGCTTTCGATTTTCGTAAGATCCTCAGTTCGGCAGCGTTATTTGTCAACTCCGCCTTCGATGTAAGAGAGTCAACGATAGACTCTTGCGATACAAGACGCTCGATATCTGCAGTAAGTGCATCGATAGCTTCGGCAAGACCCAGATCTCCAGGTGCTGCCTCATGTATCTCTTCCTCATCGGCTTTGCTTCTTGGTAAGGGGTCATCGATCTCGTCTTCCAGAAATCTTTCCTCATCGCCAAAGATATCATCATCAAAGACTCCACGCGTTCTGGGCTCTCCAACTAGACCCAGTGATGCTATACTTGGCTTGAGGTCTTCCTTGCTTTGATGTGATTGTCCTTGAGGACGCGGGGACGACACTCGTTGTATATCGGCGGATCCATGCATCGAGACATTGTCTATTGGCGATTTTAGACTTGGCTCGTAGAAGATAGATCCTTCAGGCTCATCCATGATGTCAATAATAGCAGCTTGCATGGCGTCGACCACCTGCGTGTTGTTACCATTGGTGCGGCCATGACCAAAGTCGGAGTTGAGGCTTGCGGTCGAGTGTGCAAGAGGGTCGGAGTCGTAGTCGTCGTCAAACAGAGGCGTGCGTGCAGATGATGACGTCTGTACATCTAGAGAGCGTCGCGCGGGCGGTTCGACGTTCTTGACATTTCCTTGGCTCTTCAGATCTGATGATGATGCAACGGCTCGACGCAGGTCTCCATGCGGAATCTGCAACGCACTCTTCTGCCGTGACTGGGTCCGGATCATAGCAGGAGCCGCCGTGGACGAGTTGTCGAGGGTTTGCGCTACAGTCCTGGTATTAACGGTGCTATTCTGAGCGTTTGCTGCCTCGTCCATGGCTAGCCACTTGTAGTACAGATTAGATTTCTTGAACCTCCGAAAATAGGGTTCCTGTAACTGGTCGTATGCTGCCGTCTGCGCACGCAATAACGAACGCCTCGCATTATGATATTGCTGCGGTGTTGCCTTCCGTCCAGCTTTGAGAAACTCTGAAACCGCCTGGCGTGCTTCAGGTAGTATCTTCAGCTCCGGTTTTGACAGGTAACCATCGTGAATCTGCGCAAGATCTGCACGATCAGACTCTGTCCAGGCAGGAAGCGCGCCTATATAGTCCGGCGCTTCTTCAGTCTCTACCTCCAGTGGATTGCGGAAGCCATCCACCACAATCCAGAATTGTACCAGCCTCATTAGGTCTGCTTGATCCATGAACTCCATAAAGCAAGACAGGCCCGAGGCATCGTACAGTACTTCGCGCAGAGACGCGTTTGCGAACTTGGACGAGGTACGTTTGTGCTTCGGCTTCTCCTGTTCGGCAACTTTTGCCCGAACTGAGCCACCAGCGCTGAGGTTGGCGACCTTTGTATCCAGAATCTGCCGCGCTGTTTCTAGACGCCGAAGGTACACAGGGTCTTGACCCTCTACCATTGAGTCCTTCCGTAGTTGACTTGACACCTCGCTGCGAAATCGTCTGGCATCTGCAAGGGTATTGGTTTGCCGGATGGCTCGTATGAAACGTTCGAATCGTCGCTCATTATCACCGGGCGCAAGCTTCGGGAATTGAACATTCTTGAGGTTTTTCGGTGACGGCGGAGCGTGCTCGTCGAGGGCAGCTCGAATCTTGCGAACAGTCTTCCTTTCTTGGATCAAAGATTTCCCCTGCCATGTTAGCTACGTCCTACTACGAGCGGGTAGACTCTTACATAGCCCTCCATAAGCTGGTTCCACATGTCTGGGTCAGCAAGCATCTGCATCACAGGAAATAAGACTGCGCAGGCTACAAGCTCTTTAATCAGTACATTGACGGCAGGACTGGTGGACATGTTCGCAGGTATGATCGTGGGCAGTAATCGCGCGACGATGCTTCGTAGATGTTGCTGCTGTATAGGCTTGGTATTCGAATATGCCAGCGAAGCCGCCGGATGCAATCGACCCTCCTTGTATTTGGCTGCAATGGCCAGGTCAAGCTCCTCAGAATCCGTGATATCCCGTGACAGCTTGCGTCCACGAACTATGCGCTCTGCCTCATACGATGCTCGCAAGTGGTCCGTGATAAGAGGTATCATGCGCGATACAACTGTCTCGACCATATCCAATGCCAGTATGCGTTCTCGCACTTCGCCCATTGAAGCCCGTATCGCCCGGTCCACCTCGTTGACGAATGTTGGGCTTTTGCTTATACTGCCATACCAGCTCTTCACAAAGTCGCGCAGTATCAGCCCAATCAGCACGTCAATGCTGTCTGATATCATGAAGGACGCTGGGTATAGTGGCTCCATCATGTACGTGTTCCTCAGGTTCATGGCCTCCCTCTCAGCCTTCCACCTATCTGGCGCAACGAAGGCGACATGGCGCGGCCCGTAGTCGACCTTCCCGCCGCTTCGCACGTCTCTGTCCCAGGCAATCGTAAAGGTGAGCCATGCTAGCAGCGCAAGCGTCGCGAGCACTCCGGCGATAAAGGCGTAGGGTAAGTAGTGTAGCTTCGGCTGCCAATGAGTCAGGTACCCCCAGGCGATGAAGATGGCGATAGCGGCGAAGACCAGATCTCTGCGCTTCACGGGGGCCATAATCGTGCGGGTGCCGCCCGTTTCTGCATCTTGAGCGGGATGGTTGGGAATGCGGGAGGCTTGGTGTTCTTTGGACAACCCACTTTCAAGCTTAGACCACTGACGTATCCCGCGTATTCCGTATTCACATGCATCAGGCTGGGCACACTTGCTACTGCACAGCTTTATTTTGGTCTGGACAAGCCTGAGGTGAAAGTTACTTGTTGAACTATCTGTATCATGCTGAGTCTTTATATGCGCTATCGATGACCGTGGAAATGATTGCGCTCTCCGTGCTTGGTATAACCTCCTATGCAAACAATGCCATGATCCCAATAATGTTACATTCTTGACGCCAATCCAACTCCAAACACTATGCACAAGCTGCTTCGTCTCTTCAAGGCAACCTACTCTAGAACTTTCGCCGTCCGAGTGTCGGCTTCCAGTCGAGTGGATGTGTCTCTTCAGTAGCGTTCTCGTCCTGCTTCCAAATCTTGATTGACTTGTCCGACTCTCCAGTGATGAGACGCAGACCAGTCTTGTCAAACGTCGAACACATGACACCCGCTTCCGCTTCAAGAGAACCCGGTTGTGCGATGCTTTCTGTGTGCTGGAAGCGGTGACCTGTCTTCCAGTCGTAGAATGAGGCTTCACCATTGTCGCTACCAGCAAACATGATGTTGTCCTCGTTGACAGAGAGTGTGTTGATGATGCTGTTGACGGGCGAGAAGTTCTGCATAAAGTTGCCTTCCGGACACAGCCATTGCTTCGCCGATTGCGCAGATCCAGAGGCAAATGTGAATTCTGTTGGATGTGTGGCAAGAGAGCGAACAGACTTTTTGTGGTGGGTAAGTACCGTACGCGTCTTTCCTGCGACAAGATCCCAGAGTCGTATTGTGCTATCCATGCTTCCGGAGATAACCTGAGGTTCGGCTTCTTGGCATTGGATTGAGGAAATGGTTCCCTTGTGGCCTCCGAGGACGTGGATGTTGCTGCGCGATCGCATGTCCCAAACGCGGACTACACCGTCTCGTCCTCCTGTGCAGAGCACATCTACGGTCGGATGGAGCGAAAGCGAGTAGACTCCGCTCAAGTGGTCGTGGTAATGTCTGATGACCTTGTTGGTCTCGAGATCCCAGCACTTGACCATCTTGTCTTCTCCGCAAGAGAAAAGGTATGGGTGTCTTGGGCTCACTGCGAGCCCTCTAACTGCCGAAATGTGTCCTGTCAATGTAATCTTCAGTTGACCACTAGCCAGATCCCAAAGTTTAATCGTCCTGTCTGCGGCACCCGTAGCGAACCATTGGTTTCCAGGCTCCATTGCCACTGATCGCACCTATACAAAGTCAGTTGATGTCGCTATTGCGCACGATCTTATCGTATTGCTTACCCATCCCATATGTCCGCTAATGACCGTCTTGACCTTCCAGGGCGCATGCCAGTCAGGCTTCGCTTGACGAACCACGTCCTTCCTCACCAGCGCGCTGGACGTCTGATCTCTATTTGGCGTAGGTCCTTGGGCATTTGGCGCGGCGCCCTTTCCTCCGGCCCTCACTGCCAACTGCATCGACTGCGCGTCGCGTGCTTTGTCCGCCTTCTCTGCGACACCATCAATCATCCTCTGCATCTTAGGGTCCGATGCCTTCTCTTCGGCATTCTGCGCCTTGATCTTCTTACGTCGTTCGGCCGCCGTGGATGCTGCGCTAGCCATTTTCGCGGCCAGTGCAGGTGGGAGCTCGCGTACATGCTCATATTCGTTGCGAATGCGCGATGCGACGCTGGCCTGATCTGCGGCGGCTAAGGGTGCTGGTGTTGTCGGGTGGATCGAAAAACTGCCATTAGAGGCGTGATCTAGTGCGGCGGGAGACGCAAAGTCGGCGGCAAATATCTCTCGTGTGCGCTTCGAAGAGGTTCTAATAAGCTGCTCCGCCGTGCTTTGAGGTCGCGAAGCTGCGGTCTCGGCCATGATGACGACGTGATGTGGAGGTGGGAGGTTTACTGGGCTAGCGTAAGCTGTGGTGGTTCGCGACTGCAGTGACGTTCATAAGAGAAACTTACGTGTTGATGTGTTGGGTGATACCAGAGGCCAACAGCTGGTCGTCGACTCTCCATCGCGAACATTGACGACGGAAGTTTCACTAGCGCGCCTGCCTCACCCAGCCGAGCTAACACCGAGGGATATCTTATCTGATCTTCAGGCTGCTATCTTCCAAGGCTGCTCAGCCTCGCAGTCGACTTGAGCACGACATATCTTGCTATCTTCACACCATTCCTGGATTTCTTATATTATGCGACGTGATCTTCTTGCAATCTTCACTGCATCGAATTGCTTACATATCTTCTAGTCTTGCGGCTACCATCGATCTACTTCGCTGCTTGTTGCATGGTCCCGCTTTATCCCATCTGAGACTCTCAAATCCGGAATACGTGTATATTTGGTTGTTCCTCGAAAGATGGCGTTCGACTTGGTTACAATCATGCCAAAACGGCCAGTGTCAGTTACTGCGCGAATTGGCAATGACACCATAATCCAACCCACGAAACAGGATGGACACACATGCCTTGTGCGGATCCACCGTCGCAAAAGCCTCTGCTGGTGAACGCATCAAACCAAGGTCTGTTGCATCCATTGAAGCGCAAGCTCTAAAAAAAAAAGACGACGGTTTGCGGAAATGGTTGCGTACAACGTCAGCGTATCACACAATAGCATCACTCTCAACCGTACCGTCTGCTCATAGTCACAGCTTAGTCTTCAACCAACTCTAACCTCTGGAAATGTAAGGATCGAAAGGTAGCATTCCATGATGCCCGCAAAGTCGGGGCGCAGGATCCGTGCGATACACATCTCGACCAGAGGAAGAGCCCGGAATGTTGGGAGCTCAATGAGGTTACATGGCCGGTAACCTTGTACGTAAGAGAGCTGGTGAGCGATCTCACATGGGTGCCAACATCGGACCTCCCAATATCTGCGGTGGTTAAACGGTCCAATGCACGGCGCTCGCATGTACACACCACAATTCGAGACCTGCAGGGGGGATACGAGGCTCCGCGCCGCAATATCGCAGAGCCACGGCGCGGAGCTCACATGTCAGATGCTGTTAACGGCATGCGTGGCGTTCACCGAAAAATGTTTAGACAAACATCACCGTGATCACGCAATGCATCGCGAACGCATCAACACGACCCATCTACGTCCGTTGCTACTACGATGCTTGTTTCCCCAGATCTCCCGGGTTCTCCGCTTTACAGCTCATGGCCCCAACTCCCCAGGATTGCGCAAAAGCAGTGGATGGGCGCAAATACAAGCACATGCTGCCGAGGAACTTGAAGCCAGAGCCAGACCGAGCCGCCAGATCCTTCCAGAGGAGGAAGCTGCCTCCGCGTAATATGACGCAGGAACGGCCAAACCCTTGCTCTTCAACAACAAGGCCGTAATGGTCGCATGACAGCACTGTACGCGTAGAGACATACACCACCTTACAGCGCCGCGCCTGAACATATACAAGACGACTTCTTTGGAGAACGGATTCTGTAGACACATGCAGGCACAGTAAGGCCGCCAGCCTCACGCCACCCGACCTTGACTCTCCGAGAATTTTACAGCGATGGGTGCTCGGATGGCACATCCGTTCAACGAGTGGGCCAGGTTCCTGGCGACTTTCTGCGCGACTAAATCGGGGAGCTTAGCCAGAAAGCCGTGCATGGATTGTCCCGGATGTATGGCCGAGAAGGGTCGAAATTTTGCGGGGTTGTAACAACGGATTCAGCGCCAGCTATCGATTTTGTGTCGCCTTTTGCCTGCCGCCACCCATTGATCACAGTGCCCATATTCGAGAAGGAACATCGCTGTCAAACATCTGCTCAAGTCAGTGAAGTACGTCCTCGTTCGTTCTGCGTGCTGACATGTGTACCTTCCAAGACTGCCCCGGATTTTCGCGCTTCGCACCAACTCCGAAAGCGGTTAAATGAGAACGGCCAGCTCCGTCACTGGCTGCAGGTTGCCCAATGAGCAAAAGCTTCTAGTGTCTTGGCGCCTTAACAGGTTCTTCCCCCGTCCCTTGCCTGGAGTCGCCGTCGCCCCAGTGCCAATGCTCACCAATGACATCCAATCGACACACCAATGGCTTTTTACATGAGGCATCTGCACTACATACTCCTTGCAATTTCTATTCAATACGTCAAAAAACTTAATACATGAGCTACGCGGATAATATCTCCTTTGTTTCAACCTTCATGAATCAAGACCACTTGTTCGGCGAGACGCGGCGCGCTTCGTTCCGTGGCAATGGCAAGCAATAGACTTTCCCATCGTCAGTCCAGTCTCGATCAGCCGCAGCTAGCAGTTGGTAGTCTGGGGTAGCGTCATCAAGCTCTACCACATTGAGCAATACCTCCAGGGGCTGCACGCAGATCTCGAATGGGGCGAACAAGATGCCCTTTGCGGTATCCACTTGGGTGCTACGGTGCTAGCTTGTTTCCCACCGGGACATGGGAGGCCTCGAGACGCGGTTGATATAAAGAGCTTGCGACAGTTCGCTCTTCGTTTTTCTGCAAGCTTCACTGTCGTTATACACATACCAAAGAACTCTCACTACACCGATCACTGTATCAACACCAGAACTTCCGTCAAAATGAAGACCTTCACCATCGCTACCATCGTCGCTCTGGCCTCCGTTGGCGCCGCTCAGCTTGACAACATCCCGTCTTGCGCTGTATGTTGTCAGAAACTTTTCATGGGTGTCATGTAAACTAACAGTGCACAGCTCAACTGCTTCGTCGGTCCCCTCACCAGCGACGGCTGCTCCTCTCTCACCGACTTCGCCTGCCACTGCAAGAAGGGTGCTCAGCTCCTCTCCCAGGTCCAGCCCTGTGTTCAGGGTGCCTGCGGTCCTTCCGACCAGGCCGCCGCCATCGCCGCTGTTGAGTCCACCTGCTCTGCCGCTGGTGCTCCCATCAGCATCCCTGATGCCAGCGCTCCCGCTGCCAGCTCTGCTGTAGCCTCCGCTACATCTGCTGCTGCCTCAGCCGCCTCTTCCATGGCTTCCTCCATGGCCTCCGAGGCATCCTCCGTCCTCTCCGAGGCCTCTTCCGCTGTCGCATCGGCTGCCTCCTCCATGTCATCCGAGATGTCCATGTCCGAGTCCATGTCCATGACCGCCACCCCTACCGCCACCGGCAGCATGAGCATGACCCCCTCTGCCTCCATGTCTGAGTTCACCGGTGGTGCTGCTCAGGCTACCCAGGCTGTCGGTATCCTCGGTGCCGCTGCCCTTGCCATGTTCGCTTTGTAGATACCCTTACGCTCTGGATGGTTGAATGAACCACCGACTGGTTAATCATGGTTGGGATTTAATGGCATGATGTTGGGACGGAATGATGGAAACTTTGTAACATTACCCCAAAAACGATAATGCGATATCTAATACCCTCAACTTCGCTGTTTCTTTCCTTTCCTCCGAATTTCTTCACTTATCAATCGTCTGGCTCAAGGCATGGGCTGCTCCCTTTCCGATAAGTTGCAACTAATTCGACAGCCTAGTGACGTCAAGTGAAACGAATATGGTGTTGCACAGATGAGTAGGCATGGATGATAACCTTTTCACTCAAATGGATGTTTCTCACGTCATGTCATTACGACAACATTATCCAATGCGTAACCCGTGTTAGCGCGCGTGTTCCAGAAATTCGGGATTGTATAAGCATTCAGGGATGTGATAGCTGCAGCTGTAAAAGCAAAGGGTTCGGTTACAGTTGCTGTAGCCGTGAACTCATCCCTACGTCTGACGTTTCCTGGTCGAATATACTTCCACAGATGTACTGCTTGGATATAATGGATCGATAAATTAGGCGTCAGTCAAGAAGCGTCGATGATTCGACGGATAGACGCTTGGAGTAGGAGTCGTTGTCTGTTCGAGCTGATGGAATTTTGGCAGTCGACTATAACCCTGTAAATTTGCTGCTTCTCTGCGCTGACGCATGCTCATCCCTTGAACCTTTTTAGCCTCCTTGCAAAGCGTGTTAAGCATGAACAAGAAGTTGGTCTTGGATTCATCCGCGGGTTTCCCTTGGTGAGTTAGTTGGACATAATTGCCTCTGGAATCGTGGTGCTCACCATAAGCGTTGTAAAATGTGAGTGTAAGAATCTCTTCTGTCGTCGATTCATAACCATTTTCGGATACTGGCCAACGGAAGGTGGCACTGTTGTTAGTTATGATATCCATCCCGGGATTCTGTGGGTTTACTATCCCGCTTCGTCAGTGGTATACAATGTCACCATCTCACGATGCTCCACGTACGCTGACATTCATACGGTACTGAAGTTGAAAGAACAGAATAGTATACACGAATTTTGCTACCGTCTTGGGTGATTGCGAGGGTGAGAGAGCCTTTGCCTAGTTCTCGAGGCTCAGTAGCCTGCGATCCCCGTCGACAGAACCGAAGACTGGAAAGTTCACTCCAAATACGTTAGTGAAGCTTTGCAGATATACGTAAGGAACAATCTCACATGGATGCTTCGTAGGTGTTCAAGTATGCCGGCGGTGTCCACGAACTTTCCGAGATTGGGAAGGGAGGTTTTGCTTTCTGTAGGCGTTTCTGCTCGCCTGATCGTTCGCTGAGTTATCTATCGTCAGCGACTGTTACGAATGAACAGATTGGTTGTACCCACCGTGCATTGCCGCGCTGATACCATATACCAACTGCTTTTTCAATCAGACTACTCTTTGTCTCTGGTGATTGTACGCTTATTTGGGAGACCGAATCCCAAGGTGTAATCGTCTTCGCGTTCGATCGGACTATCGTTGAAGGATATTGATTTCCCACCTGTGTCAATATGTCATCAATCTCTCGTGCCGACTTCCGAATAGTTTTCGCATTGCTGGTCCAGACCGTCAGTCGTATTGGAATACCTATCGAACGATATTGCATACCTGGTCAGAGACGTTTGAGCTATTAGTAGCACATGCAAGTGTGCTTTCAGATGCGCTAGCAAAACCTCTGAATCATCCTTGTCAAATGGCCACATTATCTTCTTCCTGAAGCTCAATATGACCACACCACGCTGGGAAGAGAGCTTTGTGTTTAGGTCATCAATGATCGATTTGATTTTGCCAAGGACTAGGTTCATTGGGTCGGCCCAAACAGTATAGGATTTGGGAGAGGGTGGTGAAACTTTAAGACTAGTCTCGAGAGCTTTGAGAACAGCTTCTGTCGCATGTAATTGATCAGCTATGAGTTGCGTCTCTTTCGACGCGTTCGAGACACTTCTGAGGTATACTCCAGTCGATCCAAAGGCTTTCAATATCGACCCGATACCTGCTATCATAGAAATGACGTCCGCCATGGCGCGAGCTAGGAAAGCGGAGTTAAGTGGTGTTCAAAATATGTGTACAAGGAGCAATTCAGTCCTTGCCAGGATGCGGGGAAGTATTATACGGTATCGATAACTGCATTCCCCATTCTTTCTTTTACTGCTCTTTGCAAAGACATCGCGAACGTACATGGGCTGAGACATTGGGCACATTCGGTGGAGGCCTATTGGTTGCCATCAACAGCAGAGCCTCGCGCCGCCAAACTCTATGAAGCCCCCAAGGTAGCCATGCAGTTCTTTTCACCGGAATGAGATAGAGCTGACCAATAGATACTTCTGTCCACCTCAACCAGGTACAAGGCTGTATGGGCTGTGCCGCTGCGGACGCCACAATCTTGGAAGTGAGGCGATGTGCTGGAAAGATGTGAGAAGTCCAGTAGGTACGTTTTTTAGAGTCTCGGATGAAGCATATGTGAAATTGAGCATATGCGACAGAATAACTCACGACTTTGTAACACAGACGACGTTTGCGAGGAGGAGGATGCCTGGGTAGCTAAAGAGGTAGGAAGACTCGGGCCCAATGCCCTGTGGCGCTTGCATCATCGGATGAGCCTTAAAGTCAGCCGCCCCGCACTTGCAGCCTCGAACAGCTCGGCACGACAAACCATAATGTTCGCAACGGAAATAGCTTGGGCAGGCTTGGTTGATCACACTATCCTATTCCGATCCCTCAGATTTCTTACCTACATAGGTAGGTGGAGATTGGTAAATGCCTGTCATAGCTTCCGAGCCCATACATCCATTTAGTAGTAAATTAGATCTCCAGGTGATATGTTGACTGCCATTGGACCCTTTCTAGTCTAGTTACTATGCTAACTCCATATTCTATATAACTTCATATACGTTCCACCTTCATGACATTTAGCTAAGTCGCCATTCTCTCCTGTCCGCACGCCAATAGCAAGTCAGCTAGGTGATGGTTGAGACCTTGCCTCATCATACCAGTTGTATGTTGCACAGCCCCGTCTTCCGTATATGGTTAGCACTGGCTTAGAACACCATACACGCAATGAGACTTGTCGGCTCTCAACGAAACGTGGGCTAAGCCTTTACTAAACTTTCAGCCTGACCAGAAGTTGCTGCCTAACCACTCAAACTACCTCGATTCCGCGTCCACAATCTGAACATTCACTCTCATGGCGTCGCATGATCCACAACCAAGTGCCAGGCAACAGGATTCTGGTAATGACAATTTTGAACATACCCTATTGGATACAACGCGCAACTCAATACGCCTGTTGAGGATACTGCCTGATCTTTCCACCACGGGTCTTATACAATGCAAGATATGGCACACCACTACCCACGCCGAATACACCTGCTTGTCGTATGTCTGGGGCACTGAGACGAATCAACAAATAATTTGCATCAATGGAAAAAGATTCTCCTGCCGCAAAAACCTTTGGGATTTCCTGAGTGTGGCTCGCACCAACGATGTCGTCGATTTGAAAGCGGTCTGGATTGACGCAGTCTGCGTCGATCAAGACAACGTCACCGAGAGAAATCATCAAGTTAGCCAAATGGGTGACATCTACGCCCGAGCAACTAATGTCATCGCTTGGTTGGGACGCGATCAAGGAGCCGTCGAGTTCTTTATCTTCTTGAAACGCCTTGCAGCAGAACAACCTCATTCCGAGAAAGACGCCCGTCGAGTATGGTTCCGTGAAAGAACCAAAAGTCTGCAACGCAGCTATCTGAGTTTTGAGTCAAACGAGTACTGGACACGGGCCTGGATTACACAGGAAATTCTTCAGCCACAAGAACTTTCGGTTCTGGTTAATGATACATTAATTCGCCAACCGGAATTTCAAGCCTTGGTAATGCTGTTACCAACTCTTCAGTTGACCGTCTCTAAGCCCGAGAGGAAGGCATCTGATGAGTTATTCAGAAATACAGACCGACGTTTCGAGATCTATATCCGAGCAATGGCTGGGCATGGGATGTGTTACCGACAAAATGCTCGGTATTCTGAGCCACTCAAAAAGGTGCTTCTTGACCTGCTCTTCTTCCTCGGACCTCGAAGGTGCCAAAACCCACGCGATCAAGTGCACTCTCTTCTTGCAGTCGCAGATGACGCGACCCATCTCCGAGTAAATTATAGCATGGCAGAACATTGGTTTATCTTGTCACTACTGGTGTCTTATAACCGGTCTATGTGCCTATGCTCCCTCGCACGGCTTTCGGATGTGCTTGACTGCGTAGGGCCTTTCACCAGCTTAGCACCGCAGGGTATATGTGTTCCGTTCCTTCTGGCTCCATCCAAGACGTGGGAGGAAGGACAATTCACCAGTATAGCCAGAATGATGCGTGGCGAATGCTATCATGAGATACTTATGGATAGTGCCAAAGAGCACATATTTTGTCTCAGCCAGATATGTAACTATATCTTCAACGAAGGTCATCTCATTGTTCCGAAGAATATGAAAACCAGCCAGAGTGGAACAATGTCTACAATCAAACTTGTCACTCAAGAGAAGGAGGGGAGTTTGGGCCGCCCGTTACGCCGTGTACACCCTGTGGATGTGTTGTATTTTGGACCCGAGATGCAAACGGCAGATGATCCGCTGCTTGAGCCAAGTCTCTATCTGATTGTCCTTCCCCTAGAATCCTTGGTTGAAGTATCTCTGAAAGCGACACATCATACGAGGCCCCTGTGTGTCAAGGCTGAGGACTCGCAGGGCGGTTTCGAACTTGTGCTCAAAGACGGTTTTGATGCGAGTAAGTTGAATCGAAGGGTCTTGGCCAAGTGAAACCATATGAAATTCAGAAGTTGTAGACCGCGGCAAGAGACCAAAACGCTGGGGGTCAAGTGCTAAGCGAGCAAGAAGAAGCTATCTCAATGAGATTGGGCTACCTCGCCATTCTCTCCCATGCGCACGCCAATAGCGGTATACTGGTCCAAGTCTTCAACAGGAAGAGACAACGAGTTGTTGTCTAGAGGTTCATAATCGCCCCCTCCGTTAGGAAAATACATTCGACTGTACAGCATCTTGGTGAATTGCCCGAAATTTCCCTTCATGACTGCCGCAAAACTATCTTTCCAGCGTTCCTCGGAAGATTCATGCGTAATAGTCCAGTCATCGTTCGAAGTTCTGGTCACGCGCTTGACAGCCTCAAACATCTCCATCTGGCTCAGTCGAAAACTCGAGATGTAGACGGGGCGACTACTAAACTGTGATAAAGCAGGCGACTTGTCCGATTCGTCTTCAGGAAGTTGTTTGAAGCTGAATAGATTCGCAACTGCCCGAGCACACTGAGCCCAGGTGCTGACGTTGAAAGGAACATTGCCCTCGTCGAACATGATAAAAGATCGCTTCGTGAAGTCAAAGCCAAAACGATCTGGACCGCCGCCAAGACTGAATTCGTACCAGAAGTTGCACACGAGTCGGATGTTTGCGCTCACACCGAGAGTCTCAATCTCAGCGTGGATGGCCTCACCAGAAGGTGAGAGCATAGAGTCATCGCATAGCTTCTTGTTCGCTGCGTCGTGACCGAACCAGTTGGGCATAACATAAGCAACGCCAGCATTGGCCGCAGCACGCACAAGCTTGCTTACAGTGTCCCGTGGTGCTGTGACTGCCATGGTGATGATCAGTACTTGCTGGCCGCGGAGGGCGTCAATAAGGGCCTCCAAGTCATCTCCACTGTAATCCACACGCTCAACACGTACACCTTCCGGTAAGCTGTTGGTGCTTTTGGTACGCGTAATAGCTGTCACTACGTGTTTGCCAGTCTTCAACAACGCTTCCGTCAAGTACCTTCCAAATTGTCCCCCGGCCTGACACGTCAATAAGACAAACATGGCAGCTATGCAGGAGGACTTACCCCTACAATAGCCACCTTCTCAATGCGATTGGTGAAACCTTGCGGCTGATCTCTGGCGTATGATACCGCCATATTAGACAGGAGATGATGTTGTAAGTCACCTGTGTTCGATTGCAGGATTCGATGCTCGTGCTCCTTGATCCTCAAGCTTCGTGATGATAGCTTGGACGGAGCAACAAGTAATTGGTGTGTATAGCTGCAGGGCACTGAATTCAAAGCTGAGGGTTTAGCTAAGTGATAGTGTAATTGCTGGCTAATTACACAGCACACCGCTCAGCTTTAGACTATACCATGATGGATATTGCGGACTTTGCCTTAACGTTAAAGCCACTGAGGCAGCGACGCGATGCGGAGTTAACGGGCTTACTGGTACCTTGGCTGTGCCGCTCAAGTGCGCGAGTGGCGTGATCAACACCAAGAGCATATGCTCGCAGGCAATTCCAAAAGTGATACCTGTATTAAAGCATCTAATTCTATATGAATGGTCTGAACATCTATTCACAGATAAATGTAGCAGAATGGCCCACCAAGCGTGCTCATCGCATCCTTGTTCGTGATGTTTTTAAACGTATCCAACATCGGACCCAAGGTCAGCGTGTCATTGAGTGTGCCGTTACGACTCGGCGGCGAGTTCAGGAAAGTGATGGTGCCATCGATCGCATTCCTCCTGTTCTTGAGATCTTGGTTCTGCCAAATCCACCATGTGCGGTCGATCTGAGCATGGTGGAAGTAGAAAGCCTGTCGGAGTTAAAACTCATTCTAGTTGACTATGAATTGTGATAAAAAAAAACTTACGGGGTCGGATGGTGAGTTGAAAAAGTCGGAGCCTTGATCTCCTCCCACAGTATAGTGACCAGCGCTGTGGACGCCAAGGTAACCGGTCGGGAAATCGCCTTGCATGCGGTTCTGGAAGCTAAGGATGTCCTTGCTGTTCTTGATGAGTTCGGTAATAACCTCATCCCTCGACCTGTAAGCAGCGTGCTTGTTGACGTCCCGACTTAAGCATCTCGGGTTGTAACCCAAACCGTCAGCTTGTGGGTTCGGCTTGATTCCTTTGGCCTTGGTTTGAATAGGCCCAATACTTGAAGTCCAGTTTGCCAAAGGACCCGAGATACAGCCACCGCCACTTCCAGGCTCAAGCTTGATTGGGCATCCCGCCGCTTCGGAAGGTAGACAAGTGTAGTTCCTTCCAGGAACGTAGGCACCAGCATCACCGATACTGGTATCACTGCCGTCGAAGAGGGGAGATGAAGCGGGGTCTTCATGCCACCATGCCCAGTTGTAGTATGGCAAGTACCCTTTGTAGCCACACTCGTCACGCAGTAGCTGCTCATAGGCCCAGATGTAGTATCGGTGCCAAGCTAGGAAGTTGGCCTGATAGTGTCAACACACCAAGTCACCCCTTCGACTGCCACAGATCAATCGAGCAACCTGAGTAGTTTGATTCAAAGAGACATTGCATATTTAGACATACAGTTCCGTGGACAGAGTACGTCTGTTGGACGTGAGTCACGACAAAGTCGTCGAAGCGGCTCCTTGCACCAGGTGCGACCCCAGCTGGCGTGAGACCAGGCTTGGAGTGAAGACACTTGATGGCATCGATGTAGTTACGCCTCTCAGGCTTCGTGAGCGTCGACCTGAAAAGATATCAGTCAATTGGATGTGCTTTATAATGGGGATTTGAATACATACCACTCGCGTCGAACTTTCACGTTCTTCAGAGTGCACTGGCCAGGGTTCGGGTAGCCATTCTTTGCGACATCAATTCCGACGTTTGCTAGGCCAAGAGCGGCCAATTCATCGTGCTCCGTAACTTTGAAAGCACCGGCACCGCCCACAAGCGCCAAAGTCGCAAGATCGAAAAAGCGCATAGCAGCAAAAATACTGGTGTCGATAGCGCAGCGTTGCTTCTTTGGGTGGAAGGAGGATCAATTAATGAGAGACCTAGGAATGGGACTGCTCTGGTGCGTCCGAAAACTCATTGACGATGCCGCTCTCCATATATACCTGCCGCTTGCTGCACACTGGTGCTCTTGGCTTCTACCTCCCCTGCAGGACAGCGTGTGCGCGAAGCGAGGAACATGCGATGCCGACTCAGGGTCGGGCATGAAGGATCTACTTTGCCATACTGCACGGCAATCTAGATGCTTAGATGAACCCTCGTAGGATCTGTGGCGCGGAATTGAACAGATGGCTGGATGCGACGTCGGTACATCAATTCAACGAGATGCAGATAGATCTCCCGGCGTTAAACAAACCTGTTGAGTAATGTGGGTGATCCTTCGTGAACCCTTGCGTAGGATTGGATTTAAATATCAGTGGGTATCGCTGCTCCGCTGCGGTTAGCTTGATGTACATGCGAGTGCCATGGCAATGGGTACAACGCCTCAGCTCCATGGGCTGTTCATGTTTTTCCAGACGCAGTCAAGAAGCCCGCTATCGCACATGCTGAGGAGGTGATTTGAGACGAAAGCTTAGTTTACGCATTTTATAAATGCGAGGAAAATTCGAAGGTTGGTGATGGTCAGTACAGGTAGTCTGTGGGGGCGATAACTTCGACCCGCACCCGCGCCGCAATGCCAAGCACGTCGGAGGCGGCTCGGGGCATCGAGCCGCTGCATCTTCATCTCGATTTCTCCACCTCCTTACATCTTCTCACTGCGCATCCTTCAATCACTTCGTTTCCATCCGTACTTAACTATAAAATTCTTGCGAGATGCCGCCTCATCTGTGTTTCCTTACATGTGATGAGGAAAGTACCAACCAGTATGATGCCTTTCAAGTACCTTCTCAATTCGGCATTTGACACTGTCATGTACCAAATTCACCAACACTTCCAACTATCTTCTCGATGCCCCATCATGCTGTGGGATTGCAACGCTCACCACTTATTGTCGAACATTTTGCCATCCACGTAGTTGACCATCTCCCTGACGGGTGATAATCGGTCATGACCGGCGCCAAATGCCATGCCCTGCTGCATCACATTACGGTAGTTGGCACCTGGCGACACCTTGCCTAGGACGTATTCGCGACGGGTCTCAACACGGGTAGGGACCGGGATTGAGCGGCCTATAACAGCCTCCATAGCTTGCCAAGCAAAGGTGATGCTCTCCTTTGCGCCTGCAGGTACACCGGCCGCGTCCAGCATCATAATTTTGGTGTTAGGATACGCTTGTTGGATGAAGCGGGTGATGTTGGGATTGTAGGCACCGCCGCCGCACATGAACAACTCCTCGATCTCCATGTCAGCTGGAGCGTAGCGCCGATAATGGTCTACAATGGATTGTGCTGTGATGCGGGTGACCGTGGCGACGACATCGTCGGGACTCATGTCCAGTTTCTCGGCCTTATCGATCAACTCGAAGGCGAGCGTGTCGCGAAAAACCTCACGGCCCGTCGTCTTGGGCGGGTCTAGGCTGAAGTACTCGTGCTGCAGGAATTCGTCGACAAGAGCCTGGTTAACAGTACCCCGGCTTCCCATCTCACCATCCTTGTCGTATTCACGCTCGCCGCCAGTGTAATGGCGCACGACGGCGTCAATAAAGACATTGCCTGGGCCTGTGTCGAAGTCATATGTTTCTGACACGCCGCCCTTATTATCCGGAGGAATGAAGCAAACGTTTGCGATACCACCGATATTCTGGCAGGCGCGGAGCTTCGTAGGGTGATGAAGTAGAAGTGAGTCAAAGAAAGCAATCAGGGGGGCGCCCTGACGACCAGCCGCCTGGTCGGAGACGCGGAAATCGGTCACGGTGGTGATTCCGGTGCGAGAAGCGATGAAGCAGCCCTCAGCCATGGTGAGCGCGGACTTGACCTGGTCAGGCTTGGGCATAGATAACAGCCAGATGGTCTGACCATGGGATCCGATAGCATCGATGGACGATTTGTCCACATTGTGCTTCTTGCAGAATTCTTCTACGGCGTCGGCAAAGGTTTCCCCGAGAATGACGTTCACCTCAGATAGTCCGGATGCGGACGTTCGGTCGTGGAGGATGATGTCCATGACGCGCTTTTTGATAGGCTGTGGAAGCGGTACCTCATCATATTTGAGAAGCTCGAAATGCATGGGAGACTCGGGTGTCTCTTGACGAAAGCGACACAGAGCGCAGTCAATGCCGTCCTAATGAAGTTAATAACTATTCAGATCGAGAATCTCTTGTTTTGACCATGAGGAAATATTGTAAGACGAGATATTATGATGTTGAAGTCGCATCCCTAATCATGCGAACTTTGATGAAGCCTTAACGGTTAATGTGTTGGTTCTAAAACAAAATTCAGGGCAAGGTATGCCAGACCCATGCGTTGTAATTGAATTAAGTAGAAGAAATTGATGGGCAGTATTCGCTAAAGGTGGAGTTCCTTAATGCTCATAGAGACTTACCATTGAAGTACCAGAGTTCAAGCCCAGGACCGTGAGGTCAAGGGGTCTGCTTTCTTGAAGAGCCATTGTGGTGCAGGCTGTGATTAGAAAATGCTGATATTGACTGCGAGAAGCTTAAAGATAAGATTTGTGGTAAGTGAAGTGAAATGGCCTAAATCAAAAGGAAAGTTGATGAAAGAAAGTCATCTGGGTTCTGTATTTAAACACTCTTACAAATGGCCGGCACTCACGCTATTATTAAGGTGGAACAAACAGTACATATCCAAGTACGCGGATCGTTCGCCACTACGAAATGAGCGACTACGAACATCCGAAACATCGAATCAAATGGCACCCTTTGCGTTACCCTGAGGCTGAGATCTTGGCCATTTGGACGGCAACAACCGGATAGTAGGCTTAGCTAATTCCCTAAGAAGTGGCTTTTCTGCAGGGTAGGGAGGGAATATTGAGGATGGTAATGGAGGGCGTTCTAGTCGCCGAATCGACCTATCGGTTACGCGCCTACACGGGTTGCTAAGCGGCTAAGCGGTCTCTTGAACTGCAACGCGGCAAAACGGCAAAACGCTTCAGACTTCGCCGACTCAATCTGGATTTGTCACATCGGCATCATCTGGCTGTGTCTCTCTGTCTCCCGTTCAGCATTGCCTTCTCTCCGCACAGCAACCGACACCCCAGCTAAGTTGCGCAT